TTTATCGATGTATTGACCTCTCTGCGTCACAGTAATTGATGTTTCGTGATATCCCTATTCACCACACAATTAAAATTATTACTAAAAGGATCATATATGGAAGGTTTAAAAAAAAGATATTTTTAATACTGCTCAACAACATTGACCTATTTATATTGATTACCATGGGTAATGTCAAATGAAGATTCTGTATTTGCTGTTCTTTTTTTTTTAAGCAAGAAAACATAAGTATATAGAAAACTTTATTAATAGGTATTGGTATATATACATTTAAAGTATGCAGTTTAATTGCTGCAACATTGAAGTCATATCAGTTTGTGTATAGTACAGGTAGACTGAATGGCTACTTCTCTGTCCATCACACATTGTTAGGTCACCTGAGTCACTCACTGTTATCCGTTTTTGTCTGTCGTCGTGTCGTCCGTTAACATATGAACATTTTCAGCTTCTTCTCTTGAACTGCTGAACCAATTTCAACCAATTTTGGCATATAGCATCTATGGGTGAAGGGGAACAAAAATTTTGAATTTCATGGTCCCTGCCCCCCTGGGGCCTGAGGGATAGGGCTAAAACCAACAAAATTAATGCAGTCTTTAAAAATCTTCTAGTCTGTACCCCTGGATATTAAGCAGTCAAACTGTTGACATGATTGTAATAAGCAATGAGCCCTCTACCAAAATTGTGAAATTCATAGCCCCAGGGTCAGGGTCTTGTGCTAGGATGGGGCTACATAGATCATATAGTGAAAGTGCATAATTTCTTTGAAAATCTTCTTCTCTGCTCCTGGGTATTAAATAAGCTGACTAAGTACATAGTTATGTTGAAAAAGGCTGCCTCTTCCTAAATTGTGAATTTCATGGCCCCTGGGATAGGGGTTCTGGTGTTAGGATGAGGCTCTATTGATTATATAGTTCAAATGCATTGATTCTTTGAAAATCTTCTCTGCTCCTGGGTATGGAACAAACTAAATAAGTAAATAGTTATGATGAGTGCCTCTTCCAAAATTGTGAATTTCATGGCCCTAAGGTCAGCATGTAAAAATTAATTTAAAAACGCACAAGTCCTGATTTAGTTACTTTCCGATTCACCCCATGTTTCGCGATTCTCGGTAACTTACCTTATCACTGTACATTGCACGACACATCCACATGTGTGACAACAAACCAGTTATCAAAAGAGTTTCAGCTTTCCTGGTCCAGTGGTTCCTGAGAAGATTTTTACAGATTTTTCCTATATATTTCAATGTAACACTTGATTCCCATTTGTGGCCCCACCCTACCCCTGAGGGCCATGATTTGAACAATTTAGAATCCACTCTACCTAAGGAAGCTTCCATATAAGTTTAGCTTCTATGGTCCAGTGGTTCTTGAGATGAATATTTTTTAATGACCCAACCCTATTTTTGCCTTTTTATTATCTCCCCATGGAAGGGGGCTTGGCCCTTCAATTTTATAATTTAGAATCTCCTTAACCCAGGGATGCTTAGAATCAACTTTAATAAAAATTAGCTGTGTGGTTCTTGAGAAGAAGTTGAAAATGTGAAAAGTTTACAGAGGGACAGGGCAGATAGACAGACTGATGGACACGGAACACCAGGATTCGGTTGTATCAATATTTGATGAATGATTAAAGCTGATCATATTTAATGTATCATTAAATTCTGGCATTAAAGCTTCCTTAAATTCCTCAACTTTAATAAAGTAAAGGGGATTCATTAAGGTAAACGTTTTTTTATGAGTTGGATTACAGATCTGCTGACTAAATTTTTTGACTTATGGAAAGAAAATAAAATGCACTTTTCCAGTTTCTTTTTACTGACCAATATAAATTAAAAGAAATACCCCCCCAAAAAAAAATCAAATGACTGCAAACTGTGTAAAATATCGATAAAAACCCTATAAATTGGTTTTATTCATGAAAAAATACCTTAACTTTTGTACCTTTGGTTTTAAAATTGATCGGGTTTGGAATACACACTTCACTGTCACATGCGCCATGACGACTGAAGAGGAAAGTTTGCCTAACAGCGGTTTGTGAATCAATTTCAGTGCCCCTGAAAGTGGCCGAAAGATGCACTTAAACATGTGTACATTGAATATTAAATAAAAAATCAACCAAAACATATATGTAAGACTTACAGATGCAATTTTTTGTTCCCTGTTTTCCTGGTGTTCCATGTCCATCAGTCTGTCTATCTGTCCTGTCCCTCTGTAAACTTTTCACATTTTCAACTTCTTCTCAAGAACCACAAGGCCAATTCTAATTAAAGTTTATTCTAAGCATCCCTGGGTTAAGGGGATTCTAAATTATAAAATTGAAGGGCCAAGTCCCCTTCAAAGGGGAGATAATAAAAAAGGCAAAAATAGGGTTGGGTCATTAAAAATTATTCTTCTCAAGAACCACTGGACCATGGAAGCTGAAACTTATATGGAAGCTTCCTTAGGTAGAGTGGATTATAAATTGTTCAAATCATGGCCCTCAGGGGTAGGGTGGGGCCACAATAGGGAATCAAGTTTTACATTGAAATATATAGGAAAAATCTGTAAAAATCTTCTTCTCAGGAACCACTGGACCAGGAAATCTGAAACTTATGGAGAATCATCCTGAGGTAGTGAAGATTGTAAATTGTTCAATATTTGGCCCCCAGAGGTAGGATGAGGCTATGACAGGGAATCAAAGTTTTACATTTCAATATAAAGAAAAAATCTTTAAAAATCTTCTCAAGAACCACTGGACCAGGAAAGCTGAAACTTATGTGGAAGCTTCCTGTAGTACATGTAATTGCCTGACGCCACGTGCGTCAGGCAGTATAAGGATTAATTTTTCAGGGATCCGAAACCAAGCGATCATTCTTAATGAACTAGATTTTGTGCAAGCTGATTTACATCGGAATTTGTTACCTGCATTTAAACATTAATACAGTTTGCAGGAGAAAGAATCATATAACATGTAAAATAATGATGTGTTTAAATCCTTCAGTTTTTTGCATGCACATGTTTATTCTTTGCGTTTCTTTGTACGGACATGTCCGTGTAACATTTTTTCTGCGTTTCTAAACTTCTGGATCAGTCCATTTGCCTTCTACGAAAGGGGTGACACAATCATTTCGCGCCAAATGTCACGTAAATTATCTTCGCACCTTTTTTTTGGGTTGTTCTATTGAATGGGTGTGATAACTTCTATGGAAATAAATAAAGTTTATTCTTTTAACACGATTCTTAGGCTCCAGATTTTTTATTAACAGTAAATTTTATCTCATTTTTTTAAGAGAACACATTGTATATGGACAGGCAACACTAAAGCAATGGATTTGCTGATTATTCTTACTATTTATCCCGTAAGTGGACTAGTCTAATCATAAACAAACTCCCTCCACCTAGTAAATGGGACATCCCTTCTTGATTCAGTCTGTTTTCCACCTAGCCTTTCTCTCAATATTACATTCATTAATAATGTACGTTACAAGTTTAGGTTTTTAAGAAAGCTTAGAAAGTCAGCGAGTAGCATATTATTTCATGCTTTGTGATGAACAAGGGTTTCCTTTTAATACAGTGACAAGAGTGTAGGTCAGTACCCTTAGAGGAATGGGCTTCACTCCCGTAAGGTTATAAGTAAAGAATTGACAAAATGAAGAAGACATCATGATCAGTACTGGTTTTCATTTCATAAAAAAGCAGGTTATTATAATTATGAGAAAGGTCCTGAAATCGGTTGAAAAGAAAAACTAAACAATTTCAAAACTGTATATAAAGACGTATTTTAAATTCATTTATAATACATGTACATGTAATATATGGTAAGATCATCATGGCTAGAGTTTTGTCCAGGGGAAGGGGGGGAAGTGTTATTAGTATCTTGTTTTGCACTAGCTCTAAAGTGTACAGGTCATTTACTGTGATTTCTAGAACAGCATTGAAGCATTTTTGTCTCAAACACTTCAAGACAACTTTCCCAGTTAAAACTGTTCATAATTTACTTCGTCGTCGAGTGTGCATGAAGCGCGCCCTCTATAGTAAGAGGGTACATGTAATATGAATTTCTTAAAAAGAATCATCTAACTATTTTTCCCAGAATTATCAGAGGCAGATCCAGGAATTTTATACGGGAGGGCGCAGTAGAAGGCAGGGGGTCTGGGGCTGTATTGAACCCCAGTGGGTCCAGGGCAAAGCCCTGATGGGGGTAAGAGGTTTTTTTCCTTGATTTTAGGATAATGAACATATAAGTTCTAAATACAAAAAATTCAAGCGGGGGGGGGGGGGGGGGGGGGGGCACGCTGGTGCTGGATCCGCCTTTGGCCTTTGATTATAATCTACACTAGCGCACTTGCAGTTTTATCCCAACATAATTAGTCAGCCAGTGGGCTAACTAATAAATGACCAAATAGTGGCATGTCTTAGATATTTGTTAATCTGTAGTATTTGGTTATGACATTTGAGAAAGTCAATTGTACATCTTGTGTAATGAAGTATCACAACTATGTCACTCCTTGATGATGGAAATGTTAAGCACCTCTCTTGCGTATACGTTCCATAGATATTGATTGATTAGTCAGGCAAGCTTTTTGAAAAGCTTTTACTTGTATAGATTATAAATTTTCATATCATGGCCCTGGGATCAGGTGGGGCTATAATTGGGATTATATAGGGAAAAATCCTTGAAACTCCTCAAGAGCATATCCATGGTGAATCGTAATAATGTCGAAGCATGTTCTGGTAGTGTAGATCCATTTTAGCTCACCTGAAAAAAGTGACTCAAGTGAGTATTGTGGCCCATGGGCCTCGTTTAACTTAATTTGACTATAGAATATTTTGTCTATGTGATCAAAACATAGGGCCCACAGTGGTTGTGACCAGTCAACAGGGGATGCAATCTCCTTCTAAACACCTAATCCCACTTCCGTAATTTCTGGGGGTCTCTGTTTTATGCCCTTTTCACATATTTGTTTGTTTATAGACTTTCTGAGATTGATTACTATTCTTTAATTTTTCATTTACTTACAGGTTCGACTACAGACAATGCCTCATACAAAGCCAGGACAAGCACCACTTTATAAAGGAACTTGGGATTGTGCAGTGCAGACAGTAAGGAAAGAAGTAAGATAAATTTTTAAGGGCCAATTTATCATAAGTTTGATGAGAGCGTCTGTGAACTTACTGTTCCACATATTGAATACAGCTTCAGAAAGGAAACTGAAGATTAGAAAGCATGCACAATGGAATAGCATCTGACGTCCATCTGTTTAACTTTTCATTGGTATGGTTTTCATTGGTAAGGCAAGAAACAATTTTAAGAATAGACATTTTTTTTTATGTTCCTGATAGTGGATTGAGAGTTACACCTCAGGAAACCAAAATGTAGAATGTTGTAAAAAAAGTTTGACATAACAGTTTTCCAAGTAAGAGATTTTACTGTGTACAATTTAAGAAATTAAAGTACACTTCATAGTAGCAGAATAAAAAAAATCTAGCTATTTTATTTGTAAGTATTCAGTGGAAATAAAATTCAAATTCTATCTTGTATATTTATGAAGTGCAAGCTGGCATTCAAACTAAAGTCAGCAGGGATAGACATTAACAGTTGTCCGATTGCCCGGAACAAGTAAATTCTCAGTTCTGGCAAGTGAAACTGTTGACGTGCCTGTCCAATTGGGCAAGTGAATTTTTCTCATAGAAATGTACATATCTATTTAGTTTACATTAATTTATAAATAAAACAATAAATTTAACACTTGATTTTCGCCAGGTACCTGGCCCCGACATATTTGATTTGCATTCAGAATTCCTTGGTAGCGTTTCTAGATAATACTGTCCATTTAAATATTGGGTTCTTTATTCTTTCGTGGTAAATACAACCTATACATCTAACAACTTTGTTAAAGCTGAACACGATTCGTAAAAAGAATGTGTCCGCCATTTTCAATCGGACTCTCGCTATATCTGAGTACCCCTATATAAAGGGCCTGACTTAGTCACTGTTCAGTGTAATCAGTCGACACCGGCATAGACAGACGTATTCTATACAGCACTCGGTAGCGACAAAAATAACTGTAATACTTCTTCTAATGCAGGAAAGTAAGATATCAAATAAACTTGCAATAGTTGTACAGGTCAGTGCAGTATACAAACAAACACTGGTACATGTAACTGCAATAAAATGTAAACAAAGGTAATGCAAGATAACCAGCATGAACATGGGCTGCCATTCCATTCCGATACACGTGTCAATTAAGCAATCAGGTGTAACGAATGCGAAGAGTATACCCTGGTGTTGATATCGTAGATAATAATATTGAAAATGGCGTATGCCTATTTACGAGTTGTGTTCAGCTTTAACTTATTAGGAAATTAGATTATTTATCCACTCACAGAATATAAGTAGCACGATGTATCCTGATCAAGATATGTTTGTTTTGTAGCAACTATCTTCCTTTAGCCTATCTTCACAGTTATCTCTGAAAAGCATGATTCACAAAAGGATCATACCAAAAATGATTTTTTAAAAATATGAATTTCATTAAAAGGAAACAGAGGGTTATTGCTGCATGGCGATTTGAATATAACTTGGCACACAAGTAGACTACACTAAGATACATAATTCTGTGTATCGGTTTTTGATTTCAATGAACTGTGTTGCTATGGTTACTAACAGTAGGGATTTCTAGGAAGTAATTTCAAAACGCTACTTCTCCTACAGTTTTGGTCTCATTTCAATAAAACTTTGCACACAAGTAGACTACACTTAGATACATAATTCTGTGTATTAGTTTTTGATTTCAATGAATGGTGTTGCCATGGTTACTAAAAATAGAAATTTCTGTGAAATTCTTTTAAAACTCTACTCCTCCTACAGTTTTGGCCTGATTTCAGTATTACTTGGCACACAAGTAGACTAGACTATGATACATAATTCTGTATATTGATTTTTGATTTCAATGAACAGTGTAGCCATTGTTACTAAAAATAGCAATTTCCTTGAAATACTTTCAAAATGCTACTCCTCCTACTGTTTTGATCTGATTTCAGTATAACTTGGCACACAGGTAGACTACACTAAGATACAAAATTGTCTGTCTTGTTTTTGATTGGTTGAATGATGTTGTCATGGTTACTAAAATTGAAATTTCTGTAAAATTCTTTTAAAAGGCTACTCCTCCTACAGATTTAGTCTGATTGCAATAAATCTTAATAACACAAAAATCTCAATTAAACAAAAAGAGACTACACCAAGGATCATCATTCTTTGTATTGCTGTTGCAAAGTTTCAAGTCCAAGTGCTACTTTTAAGTACAAACCAGGAGAGCTACAGTCTCATCAGAGACTTCTGGTTTTCATGTAGCTCAACTTGCAAAATTGACAGTATGTATTTGGTCACATTTTTCCTTATCATAACATAATATTCTTCTTTCCTAATTTTGGGCAACCAAGTTATGCATTCAGACAAGTCAAAGTTTGAGATCATTTGCCCGAAGCTCAAGTGAATCTGAAAGTTAATGTCTATCCCTGGTCAGATTATTTTCTGCTTTTTTAAGATAACCAAATTACAAGAAGTTTGAATGCTAGCTACCTTGCTTTATATATATATATATATATATATATATATATATATATATATATATATATATATATATATATATATATATATATATATATAAATTGCAAGGGTGTTTAAAAACTCTCAGGCAACAATCAACATTACTCATCTCCAAATTAACTGAATTAGGTATCTCAAACCCTACCTTAGAAAGGATAAAAGTTTGTTTTTCCCCCCTTCTTTTCAAAGAATTTGACATATAGTTTTTGAAATTGTGTTCAAATATGCACATCTTAATTTTTTACCGACTAATCAATTACAGATTTTATAACAATTACAATTGTTCGTACAGAGTAACGGTTACTAATTGCCGTCCCTAATTTTTAGCTCTTCTGAGCCAAAGGCTCAAAGAGCTAATGCTATGACCATTTGTGCGGTGTGCGTAAACTTTTTAGAATATGGGCCATAACTCAAGAACCCCTCGGCAAATTATTGTCAAATTTGTCACAGGGTATCCTTGGCCCAAGGGCTCCCGTTTTTACTAAAACTAGGGTTGTGACCCTTAAACAAGGGGAGATAATTAGGAAAATAGAAACAAAAGTACTGGTTGCTAAAAAATCTTCTTCTCAAGAACCACTGGGCAGATTATCACCAAACTTACAAAAATGGATGAGGATATGTTGTAGATCAAAATTTGCACGGGGATTTACCCTGGGGCAAAGGGTGTGGTCTCAAGGTCACTTCAAAGTTGACCAAAAATTACATTTTATTAAAATGTTGATATTTTGCTTACTATAAGGACTAGGATCATCAAATCTTGTCAGTTGATGCATCTAAGGACCTCATATCATGTTGACTCAAAAGTAGGTCACAGTGACCTACTTTTTAAATTTTGCGGCTATTCTTTTTCAAAATAATTTAGAGGCGTATTTTGAACAGTTTAAGGCCTATGATCATCAAACTTTGTCAGTTGATGTATCTTGGGTCCTCAGAGTACGTCGACTATAAAGTAGGTAACCGTGACCTACTTTTAAATATTTATGGTTTTAATCAAATATTTCAGGTACTAATTGACTTAGAATCATCAAACTTTGTCAGTTGATGCATCTTGGGTGCTTGGAGTGCAACAACTGAAAAGTAGGTCACCGAGACCTACTTTTGAAAATTTATGGCTTTAATTAAATATTTCGGGTACTACAGTACAGGCAACGCGGATCCCGTATTATACCGCGTCCCCTCGGCGGTGTGTTAATCCTTTCCGCGTTACACCGTCGTGGGTTTTGATCGCGGTACTACCTGCGACCGTGTTTACACCGCGGCGGGGCCAGCTACCGTTTTTCTTCAGCTTAGAGTTGTTACCTTTAAAGTGTTTTCGATTTTTAATCCCGACGAAAAAAAAGGGGGGGGGGGTTAATTTATTAAAGATCATGGCTTACATTATAGCATAAATACCATTAAATGAATTTTTGATTTCATCTTAAGTAATAACAAATTGTACAATAATTATTTATTTCCTATGTATTTTATCAATAGTCACTCAAAATCAGTTATTTCTCCAACTTAAAAAAAAAAATAGCTAGTGCGTGCGGTAAAATTGGATGAAATATCCTCAGCTCATTTACCGTATATAATGCTATATATTTATTTAAAATCAATCATTCCAACATAAATTATTTTGAAATTGCTAAATAATTCACCTTATAACAGTAGCATTACATTTTTTTAATGCCATCGTTTCCTAATGCATTAAAATGCGGGGTCCACGATTAGCCCGTGCAGTTGCGTTCTTAGTTACATGTACATGTAGCTAATGCGTTTATTTTTCTGCGAGATTCGATCACAGTCTTTGGTTTCTTTTAAAAAAAATATGCCTTTGTATATATATATATATATATATATATCGGATATTATTAGAATGAAAAACGATGATAGAGATGTTAACAGTATTAAACACGTGTACATTTAGGAATATGTTGCACCATTAACCAGTTAACTGCTAATATTATGCGCTAAACATGTAAGACTGTAAATTAAAGTAACATCCACATATCATTTTTTTTTTACTACTGTTTATAATTGTTTATAAAATCATAACACCCTATCTATTCAGGATAATTTCATAACTAGTTTTTCCCATTTTCTTGAAATTAATATGATCATGCTCATCAGTATTTTCATTTACATGTACACGCATCGTCAAATCGGAAAGATCCTCTTTTACCAGCTGATTTGGTGCCCTGAAAAAATTATTATTTTCAGAGACAAAATGTGTCATAGCGATAGGCTACGAGTTTTCAGGTGTCTGTGTAACTGGCCAATACCCCAACGAGATACCAACATTCTGTACGTTTTTTGTTGTTGTTGTTGTTTTTTAATTATTATTTTACATTCTACTTGCATAATACATGCACATGTACATATACATGTATATTAAACAGAAACATAAATACCAAGCCCGTCGGCATTTAAAATAATAGTAATAAAACAATATGATTCGATTTATTTTATTTCATTTAAACTCTATCAATTTATTTTAAAAGTATGATTGATCTTTTTCCTTTTA